TTTTAAATTTAATCCGTAAGCACTCCAGTCATTCTCCAACGCTAAAAAAGATTTTCAACGAAAACAACGTCAAAGTGAACTATAGTTGTGCCAAAAACATCGACCAGTATATAGCACAGCACAAATCTTCCATATAACAGATATTTCTACAACCATCAAAACAATATCACCCACAACTAATAATTGCAACTGCTGAAAAACAAACCCTGCCTATTAAATGGCAAATGTATGTCTAAATCGTTAGTTTATAAAGATGAAATCAAATATGACAACCAGGCTAACTTTTATGTGGGCTCTACGGATAACCATTGGAAATAGCGCTTCTACCACTACCAAATGACATTAGGTAATATCAATTATAGTAAAGGCATTGCCCTCACTAATTTTTTCTAGAAAACTGAAAAGAGAGAATAAAACCTCAATTATCACCTGGGAACTAGTAGTGAAAGCCAAATTCTTCAGCGACAAAGGCAACGGGTGTAAGTTATGTCTTTCTGAGAAATAGATAAGCCTGAAAAATATAAACAATCCTAATCTCTTAAACAAAAGAAGTGAGTGCAATTAACACCTGCCTACATAGATCCAAATTTCTACTAAAACACATTGACCCAGATTAGTATAACTTAACCGGACCCGGGGACCAAATATACTAGTATTGATTTTATTTAGTTTTATTAATATTTTTACTTTTTGTTAACTTTACTACACAACTCTAACAAACAGCCTTGATTAAATAATTGAGACATATCATGTCGATTAGTTATCGTTGTGATCCTTTCAAAGTTGCGGATTAATTTCTTGGTAGCCTTAAAAAATTTATTAAGAAAAATACCAAAATTTTCTATCAAATAATTTTTATTTTCCCAAGTTGTCTATGAGTATGTATGTGTTTTTTGTAAATTTAAAACATTTTAACTGTTCGTTTTTACTGCTTATGCAGTGTTCTAGATTTTATTTTTCCAGTACGAAGCTATTTGCTCTATTTACATAATTATATGTTTCTATTTTAATTGATCGTTTTTTATATTATTTTATTTTCATTGATATGTATCCTTTTTATTAGTACTTTAATTTTTATTTTATTTTATCACGGCATATATTATTATTATTGATATCACTACGATTATTTAGTTTCTTAATATTAATATTATTAATTAATCTAATGATTTTCGTGGGAAAAAATAGAGTTGCCACCCCCTTGATTTTCAAACGTTTTTTTTTTCTTATTCATTCGATTTGATTACAAGAGCGTCTTTTCAGATTAGAATTTATAATTCATATTTCAAACGTTATTTTAAATCTAATCTGCGTCTAAATTCAAATCGAAAATTAAACTACAATTCATTTAAATATTTTAACAACAAAGAAAAATGGCGATGGAATGTTATGTTTTAATGGAGTGTTTACATTTGGTAATAATGTTATTATTAAGTTTTCAATGTATTTCCTCCTTGAAGAATTATGGTCCTTTTTAATTTTTTTTTTTTTTACAAATACTTTCACGGTAACTGCTCCGATGAGATGCTTTTGCTGGTTCACAGACTTCATGAATTTAAGCCTTCAACTAGGCTGGCAACTCGCTCTCGCCATTTCACTGTTGAAACTGTTAAATGTAGACGTCTCTTCTATTCCAATAGATTCATGTCTCGCACTTTTCGCCTGTGGAACTCACTCCCCTTTTCCTGTTTCCCTGATAGATATAATCTCTAACTATTCAAATGTAATGTCAATCGACGTCTCCAGATGCCTTGATCTATCCCCTATCCTTCTCTTCATCCTTTCCCCGATCATCCCTATTTGCTTTCACTCCAATTCTCTGTAACCCCTTGCGTGCTAGTGGCTTCCCTTGCTTGGGGTGAAACGCTTAAAAAAATTATGGTTACATTAGTGAAATCAAAGTTATGTCCAGTATTGTTTCTATGCAATAATGATATTGCTGACGAGCTGGATGGCGAATAAAACACCAGTTTGATGGGGAAATTCAATACAAACTTAACGAAAAGGAATATAAAGTATTAGATAAATATCGTTTTATTCACACAAGAAAGGGACAATGATAGTGGATTTGGGTTACCAAAAATAAGCATTAGCAAAAAAAACCAAGCTGTTGATTTAACGACAGTATCGTCGTCGTTCGTCCGTCTCGAGAGACGATGGAGTAGCGCAGTGAGTTACGAGCCTAGGCGGGATACATGGCGAACTAGGTCTGCCCGGACGTCTAGTTCCCCCTCTCGGCCTTGCTAGCAGAGTCCAAAGGAGAGGATAAACCAATAGAGTTTGGTACCAGCGAGGCTACAGGAGTTGCCGAAAGGTAGCACAAAATGCCGTCCATCCACCTTAGGGGCTCCACTCCGGGTTTGAATTCTCCTAGACCAGTTGCCATCCACTCCGGGTTTGAATTCTGCTAGACCAGTTGCCATCCAAGGCTACATAACCCAGTCTGTCCTGCTATTTACCCATAGCTGAAGGGAGAAGAAGAGGATTCACACCTTTTTAGCACGTAAGTGAATGCAATGGATGCGACTGGAATTCGAACTCGGCTCTCCGATTCCTCAATCCAAGCCGCTATCCATTACTCCACCGTTATTAACTGTATATTAACTGCATAAATATATATATAAACTGTGTAAATATATAAACTGTTGAGAAAGGTGACGTTAAGTTAATAACAAGTAAACCTATGTGATTTTTGATTAAAATACTGGAATTGTTGCGTTTGTGCAAATATGTCGTTTCGATATCGTCGTGAGTCAAAAAAAATGTCGCGCTAGTTTTAGTCTGTAGATTGATTTATGTGTAGATATGGATGCGTATATACATATAATTTGTGTGTAGGTATGGATGCGTATATACATATAATTTCAGGTTGTGTTCGTTTTCGAACTGTTGATGCCCCGAAAAAAAATAAAATTTAGTCAAACACTTTAGAGGGAAAAGCGCGAATTTCTAAGAGGTTTTGCAACAACAGTAGCAGTCACTCTTTACAAATTCGCGCTTTTCTCTCTAAAATGTTTGACCAAAATTTATTTTTTTTATTGAGAATGCTGACTCAATGATTATTCTAAAATAAATCCATAAAAATTCACCTGCCTCTCCGCCGGGAGCTGACTGTTTCATGGTAAGCACAATCATCAGGCGACCTGATAATTGCGTTTTGAATGATTTAGTCTGTCGCCTCTGAGCGTTGACTTCAATGTCCACTTTTATATCTACATACCCTCTATATGTGATACTGAGCACTTTATCGCATAAATATACCATACCTTTAAACTATATTACTTTACACACACACACACACACACACACATATATATATATATATATATATGTGTGTGTGTGTGTGCGTGTGTGTGTGTGCGCGTGTGTGTATGCGGAAAATTGAGATAATTCGTGTAAAGAGAATGAATGAATGTAAAGAGATACGAATCTATATATGTTCCTATCTATCTATCTATCTATCTATCTATCTATATATATATATATATATATATATATGTATATATCACAGTCTGTCAACATTTTTTTAGTTCTGTACAAATATATTCATATCACTATTTTATTTTATATATATTCATATATCTTTATTATATAGTAATATTTTTATCATACGCATAGACTCACACATAGATAGATAGATAGATAGAAAGAGACTGAGATAGATAGATAGATAGATAGATAGATAGCTAGATAGATAGATAGATAGATAGATATGAAGAGACTGAGATAGATAGATAGATAGATAGATAGATAGATAGATAGATATGAAGAGACTGAGATAGATAGATAGATAGATAGATAGATAGATAGATAGATAGATAGATAGATAGATAGAATTATATTGTATATACTTTTGTTACATTTAGGGAGAAAGTGCGGTCAATATCGGGATATATACATATACATGAATAAATATATGTATCGTGTGTGTGTACGTATGTGTGTGTGAGTATGTGTGTCTGTACACGCGCGCTTTTGTGTGCGCGCGTGCGTCTGTATGTGTGAAAGAAGCTCTTTCGTAGATTATGAAACCAAGTTTAAAAATGTTCAGTGAGGAAAAATGATCTCTTTTTTCTTGGGCATGAGAGAGACAGAGAGAGATAGAAAGAGAGAGAGCAAGCGAAAGAGATATGGAAAGAAGGAAAAGAAGAGAAAGCGAGAGACAAATAAAGACAAGGAACGCCATAAAGAAATTGATGTAGAGAGAGTAAGATCTCACACGTACATAATGTATCAATATAAAGCCATTTTACTGCAAGTTTTGTTTTTCCTTCTTGTCAGTTCAGTTTTCTCGCCTGATATTCTTAATCAACAGAAGCCAGACTTTCTGATGGAAAAGAATAGCTGCAGAATTAATGTTTAAGTATGGAACGCCTAAAGGGCAATAATACTCTATTCATCGCTTTTAACTCTAATTGGTTTTTAAGGCTGACCAATGGTTTTTGCCTGTTTTATTTATAAACTGTTGTAAATGAAAGCAAAGTCTATCGAGACTGAGTGGAAAAAACCTAACCGAATACTTTCCCAACAAATATGGGGATAATAGCGAGAGACAGACGAAGGTAACAAGAAATAACACTGCCTCGGAAACTACAGCAAATTCCGGAACAAAATCCCCACGGGACCGACTTCACAAGACACCGTGTCTTACCAAGTGCTGTTTTTCTCCAGCTTTTATTCCTATGAGGCATCTTACAAAGACCTCTATCTTGACCAGTTGTAGAGAGAGGCCTGTATCTAGACATACCAACCTGTCCTGCTGCTAACGGGAAAACTCGGGTGTAACTGGTGTTGACAAACATGTCCGCGCGCGTTTCCCACAATAACAGAAACCAGAATTTCTAATGCAAAAGATGAGTGGCAGAATGAAGCTATCAGTATGGAACACCTAAAGGACAATTATCCTCTATTCATTGCTTTTAAGTTTAATTGGTGTTTAAGGCTGACAAATAGTTTTGCTTACCTCTTCCTCTGGAAATAATTCCATTCATTGATTTCAGAAATGAATCCTGCAAGAGAAAGAAGAAAAAAGATTGAGGTGGGACGAGGAGAACGGGGGTGAATGGGGAGAAAGATTTCTTAATTTATATGTTATATGGGAATAAAGTGTCACTGCCGACAGTTGAGTTTGAACATAGATCGCCAGTGAGCAAACACAGTCGATCCCATTATTGAATAAAGTGGATCACGTGACCATAGAAAAACGGCATAAGCAGGAAGTCACGTGACGTCTATATGGATCTGTATTTCCATTCTATCCTCCATTACCATACGGATCACAATTTCTAGTCTGTACGGATTAATTTACGAGCGAGTATTATCGAGCAAGTACTATTAGTGCGAGTGATATTCGAAGGCGTCTGACACTGACATCGTTCAACGTTGTTACTATAGATGTATCTGCGATTACAAAGTCTCTACTACAACGAGCATTACGAAAGTGACGAGTGTTCGTTGACATTACAAAAGTGAAAACGTGTGTTTGTTGACATCACGAAATTATACATGAGTGTAGAATTTCAGTTTCTGCTATTTTAATGAGCGCTTCGAATAGTCCGCTTCCTTCGTCAGGAGAGGATAAACGTCGAATACAACTGTCTCCAAGGCATGAAGTTTTTGGGATTGTGGAAGAATCCATAAAATAGCCGTAATTCGTCAAAAGAAGCAATATGCGTATTCAAACCCTGTAAAGATTTTTTTCCAATTGAGAGCTAAATTCGACAAAGTCAAAGGCACTTGAAGAAACACAAACACTTTATTAAATTCAATAAGCTTACTTACTCTTTATTAAATTAAATAAGCTTACTGTACAGAAAAGGATGCATGCACAATAGGTAAAATGAAGGCTTGCAAATATAATGTATATTTGCGGACTTAACTATGCGAAAAGTGTCCAAGGAACAAGTGGGCTTCGCGGCCATTAACGCTGGAAGAACGGCTCCAATAAATGGGTGTTCACTTATCAGTTGCAAAAGAGGAAAATTTTAAGATAGAGTTTACCGCATTGCCCCGTAAAGGGATCCTGATAACATAGTAGTTACTGTACTGTACTGACTGTACTGATGCGGCATTCACCCTGGGCGGATTGAGCCGGCTTCTTCCTGTTATGAGAAGAAGATTCTTGGGATACATTACAGAAGTAGGGTACCCAGGCCTACTCGGATAACGTTCTTGCTTGCCGCGGGATTCCCACAGACGCAGAGACAGGAACGACCAGAAGCCGCCGGTTGCCGATGCAGACGCTCCTTGGATTTTCACCAGAGCCCTTGTTAGCCGGCGTGTGTGTCAGACCTGTCCGCCTTGGGTGGCCCTACCAGGAACGAAGTTCCGGGCGGCATAGCTCTGACACTACCGTTTACACCCCCCCACTTACGGTCAAATCACGCTGAAAACACCGGTTCTCGTTCGATCACCGAAGTTAAGCATCGTAGAGCCAGGTCAGTACTTAGATGGGGGACCGCTTGGGAACACCTGGTACTGTAAACCCCCAAAGTCCAACCCTTACCTCACACAGTAGTTAGCTAATCAGAGTCCCGAATTAGTAAGGGTTAAAAGTTTAAGGCTCATATTTTACATGGTAAAGAGTTAGCGACCTTTACTATACCTTCCAAATTCTTATTACCCCCACACACATGTATACAACCCAGTATGTCTGAAATTTTAATTTTTTATCCTTTTTTTATTGTTCAAAACACACACACACACACACACACACACATATATATATATATATATATATATACATTGATAATATTTGTGGTCAATGTATATATTAAGACATTTTTTATGTTTATACATTCTTTTTATAGATACAAATATTTAAGTAAATACTCTGTTTATAATAAACAGTATTAAACAACATTTACCGGCCTGAATGTCCGAGAAATTTTCACAGAAAATATTCGTCCTCCGACAGGATTCGAACCTGTATCCTATACGGAACCGTCATTTAGCTTGACGTGCATTTACCGATTTGGCCACGAAGGAGCGTTCAGTTAGCAAGGTCGATTTTATTGTATTTAAATTTCAATCTTACTAACCGAACGCTCCTTCCTGGCCAAATCGGTAAAGGTTCCGTATAGGATACAGGTTCGATGAGAGAATGAAATATACAGGATAAGAATAATTTGACTCTTTTAAACCAATGTTAGTATAATATGTGGCACACCGAATTCGAAGAGGGATGACGCGTCCATATAAAATTTCATCTTTTTCTTCATATCTCATTCTCTGATGAAGCTTTAATAAAAGGGAAACATGTTAGATTAATAAGCGTTTCCTATTTTCATTATCTTATCCATCTGTCGAACTCCAATCCATATTTGACCTCAATTTAACCATCTATCTATCTATCTATTAAGTGGTATTCAAATTTATCTATTAAAGTCTATTTATATCTATCTATCTATCTATCTATCTATCTATCTATCTATCTATCTATTAAAGTCTATTCATATTTATCTATCTATCTGGATAAAGTTTATCTATCTATTAAAGCCTATTCCTATCTATCTATTAAAATCTATTCATATTTATCTAGCTAGCTAGTAAAGTCTATCTATCTATCTATCTATCTATCTATCTAGTTCTGTCCATATCTATCTATGTATCTATCTACCTGTCTGTCTGCCTGTCTGTCTGCTTGTCTGTCTATTAAAGTCTATTCATATCTATCGATCTATCTATTAAGGGGTTGATGTATCTTATTATATTGTTTGCGACGAAGTATTCTCGCCATTTAAATCATTAACCTCTATATTTGTTTTTTGTATGAAAGATTCATGAATTTATAAATTATATTTGTACCTTTTAATTGAAATATATATATATATATATATATATATATATATATATATATAAAACATATATACATATTTTATTTATATTTTATCATTATATACATACATATATATATATATAAAAAATATATACCTAATTTATTTATATTTTATCATTATTATATATATATATATATAATATTTTATATATATTATATATATATAAAACATATATACATATTTTATTTATATTTTATCATTATATACATACATATATATATATATAAAAATATATACCTAATTTATTTATATTTTATCATTATATATATATATATATATAATATTTATATATATATTATATATATATAAAACATATATACATATTTTATTTATATTTTATCATTATACACACACACATACATATATATATATATATATATATATATATATATATATATATATATATATATATATGTATGTATGTATAAAATATATATATTAGTATACAACCCAGTGTGTCTGAAGATTTAAATTTTTTATATTTTTTTTATTATTTCAAAACATATATATATATATATAGAGAGAGAGAGTGAAAAGAGAGATAGATAGATAGATAGATAGATAGATAGATAGATAGATAGATAGATGAATAGATAGATAACATTAATGGTCATATATATATATATATATATATATATATATATATATATATATTTCCTGGAGGATAGAATCCAGGTATAGTTCAATGTCCAGGACAGAGCAAGTATATAATATAAAAGGCTCAAACACTAATATTCTTTATGAATTTTAGGTCTGATTAATTGGATCGTGATTACGATTCCAATACAATAAATTACAACTATGGAATATTAGTGATTGAGGCTTTTTTTTATATATATTATATATATATATATATATATATATATATATATATATATATATATATATATATATATATATATATATATATATTGTGCGCATTTAGGCAGCAATTTTTCGTTGATGCATGTTTCATTAAATAATTATTTAATGTAATATATATATATATATATATATATATATATATATATATATATATATATATATATATATATATATAAACTCTCTATCTGGGGGTGACCTCAGTCATGAAATACTCAACGGATGAAGTTGCACAACCATTAAAAGAACGACATGAGGAGAAAAAAGGCTAGCGTGGGAACAGACAACTTCAGATGATCTTCTTCCCCAAAGCGCAAGTTAGCAGGAATATGGTGAGATAAAGTAAACAGAATATAACGATAACGAGTTAGCAATACGAAGAAAATCTGGTATAATTGCTCTTGAGTTTCCATGGCAACAAGATGCTCCATACTAAAAAAAAAAAAGGAAAAAAGAAAATTATGAGAATCATAAAGAAACAAATGCTGAATCTTTCGAAGGAAAAAAGAAAAATAAGCCTCATAAAAATTTAGAGCTGGATAATAATCTAACCAGGGAATCAGCTCTTGCCGTGAGGCTCACTCGATAAAACTGGGAAGATTCTTTTAACTGGACAAGATACAGAAAGAAAGAGTGAGAGATAGAGTTATTGATCTACTACATCGGGACAATTTGTCAGCCAATCGCAATCAGCAGATTCATTTGTGCCGCGTGACGTCATTACCATCGAAATGGCGAGCGTTTTTTAGCGCGTTCTTCGTGCCAAGTCATTTTAGAGTTTTCTTATTTTCTTTCTCGTTTCTTTATATATATAAAATATATATATATATATATATATATATATATATATATATATTTCTCTTCAACTCTTTTAAATTTCCCAGCTACACTGCGCCTTTTTTCTACTCCTTCCTTTGCACCCATTTCCTTTTTATTTTTGTCGTTTATTTTCAAATCCCTGTCTTCCAAGTCCTTCGTTCTTTTTGGTGCTGTTTTTACTGTTATGTTTTTTGTTGTTGTTGTTATAAGACAGAGGAGTGTGAACCGTACGATAGACGGACCTACCGACTCCTATTGAGGAGAAGAAATTAGAAAGAGTGAGAGAGAGAGAGAGAGAATAAATAAAATAAATGTATTGCCGGAATATTTTTTCCATCAAAAATTTTTTTTTTTTGTATTTTTATTAAACCACTTCACCCCAAGCAAAGCGATAATGCCACTAAGACGCAAGGGACTATTAGGAGTAAAATAGAATGAAAAGACTTTTGATGTACGATCACTGAAGTTAAGCAATGTCAACCCTGGTCAGTATCTTGATGGGTGATCGCTTGGGAATACCAGGCTCTCTAAACTTGGATATACAATTGGTGGAAAGGATAGTGGCTCGGAATTGGTAATCAAAGAGCAGAGGTCCATTTTCTGTTGGGTATGTTATATTCACTTACGTGCAAATACTCTCAGAAAAGGCATGACTTCATTTTTCTTCCCCCAGCTATGGGTTAATTAGTAAGATTTGTATCACTAAAACCATTATTATCTCAAAATAAAATAAAATAAAATTATGCACAAAATAATTAGATTTCGGCATTAAATAACCAATAGAGGTTGAAATGCCGCTAAAAAAATCAACAAACCAAACAACTTTAGAGGGAAGCAGAGACCCAATCCTAAACAGGCAACAATGGATAAAACTATATTGTTCCAAACTGGGGAGGAGTGTGAACCGTACGATAGGCGAACCTACCGACTCCTATTGAGGAGAAGAAAATAGAGAGAGAGAGAGAATAAATAAAATAAATTAATTAATAAATAAAATTTCAGACGGGGACATCAGAAGTATAGAATTTGAGAGAAACCGGAAACCTAATCCTAAAAAGAAAAAAATCGATTAATATCTAATCCTGATCAAAATACAGGGGAGGAAAGTGAACCGGGCGATAGGCGAACCTATCTACTCCTATTACATTACGTTAATTTTTATTTCTAGTTCGACTTCAGTACATTTATTTTATTTTCCTTGTCTTTACTCTCATTCCTTTCTTCTTCCTACCCCTCCCCATATTCTATCTTTACAAAATCTCTGTTGCTTAACCTTTTACTTCTCCTTATTCTGCTTTCTTGCCTACATCTATTTATACTACATACACACCTCAGGATTTCTTATTTTCTTGTTAGATTCTTTTCTTTTTTTCTTCTTAAAGCAAATCGTAAGGGTTATGATGAAATAAACCGTTTCCATACAGGAAACCTTAGACATTCATTGTACCAACCGTTAGCGATACTACAGGTAGAAATTCGTGAAATCTTTCTAGCAAAAGAGCTTTTGGTCTGTTTTATTTTACGGTATATCAACCTCAATGTGCTATTCAATTTTTTTGTTTTTTTTGTTTATTGGGTTTTTTTTTTGTTTTTTGTTGGTAATATTGTTTTTTCAAAAATGTATTTTTGGTAATTTTTGATTCCTCAAAAATGTATTATTGCTAATATTTTTTTTCGTCAAAAATGCATTGCTGGTAATATTTTCCTGAAAAATGTACTGCCGGTAATATTTTTCCATCAAAAATATATTTTTGGTAATATTTTTCCTCAAAAATGTATTGCTGGTAATAATGTATTGCTGGTAATAATGTATTGCTGGTAATAATTTTTCCTTCAAAAACTTTATTGCTGGTATTAAAGCCTATTTTCACACTTTCTTAGTATTTTGAACCCATTTTGAGGGTTAGATATTTGTCCATATTTGGGACCCTAACAGATGCTACCCACCCCGAGTCAAGGCGAACCTGAGAAGACTATCAATTAAGAGGTGGTTCTACGCTTCTCAAAACCTCCTTATTAGGGGCATTGTTGTTGGATGTAATTTATCGTCTTACTCAGGACGGAGGACATCTTTAGGAAAATGAACTTCTCAAGTCCAGTGTTATCATTAATTCTAATACTGATTATAATTTCTTTCCTAACCTTTTTTTTAAGATAGAGTTGAAAGCCAACATTTTATTCTATCATTATTTTTTTTTACTGGTTACATGTGCTAGGCATTAATTATTGTTAATGTTGGAAGTTCTCCAAAGTAATGTCTATGTTAACCGTTAAAGAACTCTTGCGATTTTGCTTTGCTAGTGTTTAGAGTCTGATGAAGAATTATCTTCTTTAAGACCAAAAAAGAATTCATTCACTAGATTAAGTTTTAATCACTGATCTCAGAAATGGTCGCATATAGATTTTAGTTTCGACATTTCTGAACGTCATTTCTCTATGACTTCCATATGTGAGTTTGTATTTGATGAGATTATTCAAGAATAACTCGAGTTCTCAGATTATTTTTATTTATTTATTTTTCTTTTGTAGTATCTTTTATGGTACTGGACAGAAGTAACCTCGGCTTAACGTATCTTTATAACTTATAATGGCCTTAATCCTCTTTTAAATCTGAATATTTGTGTGGCTATAGTCTTTATCTCGTCATGGGAGATGGAGTCTTCGCAAAATCATTTCAATGCCGTGGTTCCAGAAAATTGGTTTTAAAAGATGTTTCTACCAATCGTTGAAATTAACGTATGTAAGCGTTTGCGAGAGAGAGAGAGAAAGAGAGAGAGAGAAAGAGAGAGAGAGAAAGAGAGATAGACAAAAGAGCTAGAGAAAGAGAGAGAGAAAGAGAACAAGAAAGAGAGAACGAGAAAAAGAGAAAGAGCGAAAAAAGAGAAAAGGCGCGCGTGAGAGAGAGAGAGGGAGGGATAAAGAGCGAGAGAGAGAGAGAGAAAAAAAGCGCGAGAGAAAAGAGCGAGAGAGAGTGAGAGAGCGGTGGAGAGAGAGAAAGGACAGAGAGAGAGAGAGAAAGAGCGGGAGAGAGGAAGAGCGAGAGAGAGAGAGAGAAAGAGCGAGAGAGAGTGAGAGAGAGAAAGAGCGAGAGAGAGTGAGAGAGAGAAAGAGCGAGAGAGAGTGAGGGAGAGAAAGAGAGAGAGAGAAAGAGTGAAAGAGAATGAGAGAGAAAAGGGGAGAGGAGAGAGAGGAGTGAGAAGGAGAGAGAAAGAGTGAGAGAGAGTGAGAGAGAGAAAGAGCGAGAGAGAGAAAGAGCGAGAGGGAGTGAGAGAGAGAACGAGCGTGAGAGAGGAAGAGCGAGAGAGAGTGAAAGAGAGAGAAAGAGCGAGAGAGAGAACGAGAGAGAGAGAGCGAGAAAGAGAAAGAGAGGAAGAGAGAGCAGATTAGATTTTGCTACCAGTTGAATCTTTGGCCAGCCGTTGTTCCAATTCGATATTCTTTCAAGAAAATCTCTTGTGCTAAATTCTTTGAATCTCTTCTAACAACGTTTCATAGAGGCGTTTGGTTAGAACATGACTTGCTTGGTGTTATAAACAACAAGCACGAAGATGAAAGAAAATACTTGCAAAAATAAAAAATATATTCTTCTTTCTTTCTTTCTTTCTTTTTTCAAATTTTTCTTTTTGTCCTTTTCGTCTTCTTCTTCTCCCCCATATTATTTTTGTTTCTTCTTCTTTTAACATTGTTCTCTTTGTAATTTTCTTTATCTTCTTCTTCTTCTTTTTCTTCTTCTCATGTTTTTTCTTTTCATCCTTTTCGTTTTCTCTTCTTCTTCTTCTTTTTTTCTTCTTCTTCTTTTTCTTCTCAAGCTTTTTTTTCATTCTTTTCGTTTTCTCTTCTTCTTTTCTTCTTCTTTTTCTTCTTCTCACGTTTTTTATTTTCATTCTTTTCGTTGTTTCTTCTTCTTTTTCTTCATCTTCTTTTTTTCTTCTTCTTCTTCTCGCGTTTTTTCTTTTCATCCTTTTCGTTTCCCTTCTTCTTCTTCTTTTTCTTCTTCTTCTTCTTCTTCTCCTCACGCTTTTTCTTTTCATCCTTTTCATTTTCTCTTCTTCTTCTTTTTCTTCTTCTTTTTTTCTTCTTCCCACGTTTTTTTCTTTTCATTCTTTTCGTTGTCTCTTCTTCTTCTCTTTCTTCTTCTTTTTTCTTCTTTTTCTTTTCAAGTTTTTCTTTTCATTCCTTTCGTTGTCTCTTCTTTTTTCTTCTTTTTTCTTCTTTTTCTTCTTCTCACGTTTTTCTTTTCATTCTTTTCATTGTCTCTTCTTCTTCTTTTATTCTTCTTCTCACGTTTTCTTTTCATCTTTTTTGTTTTCTCTTCTTCTTCTTCTCCTTCTTCTTTTCACGATTTTCTTTTCACCCTTTTTGTTTCATCTTCATCCTCCTCTTCTTCTTCATTTTTTTGTTTCTTCTTCTCCTCCCCCTCCTCCTCCTCTTCTTCTTCTTCTTCTTCTTCTTCCAAGATCTTTCTTTTCGTCCTTTTCTTTACTACTACTACTACTACTGTTTTCTACTTATTTTTATTTCTTTTCCCACATTTCATTTCCTCTCACTTTCCCTTAAGCCTTGTGTTCCTTTTCCTCATCTTCACTTTCCTTCTTTTCATAATTCCTCCTTTATTTCTTCCTTCTTTCTTTGCCTTCTATCCTTCTCCATTCTTAATTCCTTCCTTAGATTCAATCCACTCCTTCCACTCCGAATCATCATGAAGCTACTACTGACAGGCAAGCTAACACTTTTTTTTTTTCACGTGTGAAAGTTTTAATGAAGTGTTGGGATTCAATTTTTGACACTAAAATTTTCTAATTATTTCCTTCTACGGAAATTTAGAAAAACGTTTCGTTTGACATGATTTCTGATTAATTTTTCTCGTTTGGCCTTGACTTTTTCCAGCTTCAGATCATTTGGGTCTTTTTCTGACATCACTCGTTTTCTTATTTCACTTCACCGTTCGATTCTTTCATGGTTTTTTTTTTTTTTGTTGGTTGGTTTAACTTTGCAAATCTTCCTTCTCTTGAGTGGTTCATGTCTAATAAAATTTCCAATCTGCAGCTTCCAAAAAAAATCAGATTTGTGCTACAGGTCAGGAAAAAAGGACCTTTAATATTATATTATTATTATATATATATATATATATATATATATATATATATATATATATATATATATCCGGTGATCTTACTGATATTTTTTTTTATTTTCACAAAAAACGTCGCTTAATGTAAATTTACAGAGCTTAAATATTATGAATTAAGTGATATAAAATATGTTTTTTTCGCTACACAGTAATAACCATGTTTCAAAAATGGAAGCTAAAAAAAAAAATCAAAAGCATTAGTACCATGTCATCTTCAAGCGAATATATTTTAAAATATTTTACATCGCTACACAAAAATTTCTATGTTTCGAAACATAAAAATTGTTCCTCGCCGATTTGGGATAAATTATGATGAAAATGAGTTACTTGGGAAATCAGAAAACAGTTCGGTAGCTCATTTGAAAGTTAAAAAGGAGGAAGAAAAACCAAGATTCCAAAATTAAAAAAAAAAAGCACATTTGTGGGTATGTCTTGATATAGCAATCAAAAGACGGATCAAAGCTAAAATAGAAAAATTAGGTCAGATGATGATAAAGCGGAGGAGGAGGAGGATGAATGCGGTAATTCAGACACTCTGATCTTGTGCCAGACTTAGCTTAGTTTACCGAATATCTGTAGCTAAGGAAAGCTTATCTATTTTAAAATCAGCATTATTTTGAAAAGTAAATTGGTTGAGAACAAGCGTTGCCAAACCCCTATTTGACGGACATAAAAAGACTTTAAAAATAATTGAACACATGATTAAAAAAACAAATTCTTTACCTCTGGTACGAATGAAGAATCTAGCAAATGTTTGTTTAGAAAAAAATTCGAGGTAGAAAAATGAATTAGGATGAAATACTGACAAAAATGTATTAATAAAGACATTATTTTAAGCCTTTACACTGGATGGTGGCACAAGAATATAAACTACTTAATTCACAGCGAGAAATTCAAATGCCGAAGGACGTATACTGTTGTGGATTCCGCGATGAAATCCGGTCTCAAATGAATGACAAACGCAGGAATGAAATATAGCAAATAAATGTATTGACGTAATAATACAATTGGTAATACGGTTAGTAGATCCAGATATGCGGTTAGTAGCAATAATAATATATATATAGTCTGGGAAATTCAGTATATGGCTTGCTCGCAACTGTGACTCCTACAAAGCAGTTACATCTCACTCTCACTCTCTCACTTTATCACACTCTCGGGTATTCACCGGCAGCAGTACAAATACACACTGGGCGAGTCCACTTGTTTAAAAAAGAGGTGGATCCCTTAACACATGCCAATGTTTCAGAGACTGCACAAAAGAATTTGATAATGATAATGGTAATTTTCGCCGTATCTTTAAAAGAAGCATTCAGTATACATTAACTGATACTCGAGTTATGCTTTTTTTCCTTTCATTGACAATAGGATGGGATCAAAGTGTAGTGTCTCTTCTCCCCATCTCTAATTGTAATGATAAGATTAACCGTTTCTTTATCAAGAAACAGTCCCAGTTCACTGACCGAGCAGCCAGAGCTACTCTTATCTGAAATTTATAAAATCTTTCTCTTGAAAATATTTTTCGGGAAAATAATTACTTCATGTCCATTAACTGTTATCGCTCTTTCCAGTATTGATGGAGATTTCCTACCTTGACTTTTGTTTATGGTAATGTTGAACGCCAGCCTCTTGATTAAGTCATTTTCTCTTCAAGTTACATATACTATCCATTTAAGTTGTTGCTGCTGTTGGCAGTCCTCAAGTGATATGGCTTCTGTTATTTGATAAAGTGCTTTGGAGTTCTGTAACGCAGGCCAACACGTTTCGCTCAAAGTCATTTTTAACCACTGATCAGAGAAAGTGGTTACATACAGCTGACAGTTTAGATATTTCGAAACGAGTTTGGCGCCATTAATGACATCCATGACATCCATATGAAAGCCTCGATCTGATGTGACTATTTAAGAACATGACACTCGTTTTTAAGTTAATATTTCGGAATTTGTAGCAACTTGCGGTGTTGGGCGAAACTATCCCCAGCACCCCCTATTCCATGTTCATTTTCTTTATCTTCTATACCAAATTTGTTGCATCTTATTGTTATGGTAATGTACCCACGCACGCATGGATTCTCCCATCTATGAATAGGAGCAGGTACTGCCTTTTGGAGAGGGAAGTTTCCTGCAGTTAGCTCTAAGAGTCGGACCGAACATTTTTGCTGTAACACTCTCGTTTCATGTTTGCATTACTGTTTCTGTTAATATGATTTTGTTTTCTTTTTCAACTCAATTCCTCTCTTTGTTATCTGTCTATATTTCTGAGATGAGGTATTATGTACACTATTTACATTATTCGGGCAATTGTCCTCATCTTTGCTGCCATATTTATCACAACGTTTCGGCCTTTCAGTATCTGTCTATATTTCTGAGATGAGGTATTATGTACACTATTTACATTATTCGGACTATTGTCCTCATCTTTGTCGCCATATTTATTACAACGTTTCGGCCGTTGAACATTCCGGATTTCTTCAGGGGTTAAAGGCGTTAGTTAGATCGAGTGACAGGACCCAAAGAGTGTGAGTTCAATACCCTGCTAAGGTAGTGGTTAACTTGGACTGGGGAATTAATAGGAGAAAACTGATAACTGACATACTTTAGACATGCTACGTGGAACTAGAACAGTCTACCCCAGTGAGCGAAATAAAGGGTTCAGTTCGACATTCCAACCAACTGAAGAAAGCCGGAGCGTACAACGTTGTAATAAATATGGCGACAAAGATGAGGAAAATAATCCAAATAATGTAAATAGTGTACATAATAAATATCTCATAAATATAGATAGTTACTGAAGAAAACCGGAGCGTACAACGGCCGAAACGTTGTAAAAAATATGGCAACAAAGAGGAGTATACAATACTCCTACTAATATTGTTGAGATGTTGAGTGTTTCCCTGTGCGTGTATTGAAATAAGGACAAACATACGTAGGGAAAAATACTGGTATATCTGAAGAGGTATTTACAACAGAGAGAGTAGTAGTCAAACGAACGCAGGTTAGTCAGTAACAATCAGAAAGAGTATAAAGTCCAGCTGTATCTTCCGATAGAGAGACGGAAGTGTGATGGTCACCTGATCTTCCCAGAACTCTATATACCTGTCCTATTAGTAGTAGATTCAGTCCATTCTGATGAGAAGGTGGGTGGCCCCAACAAATATAAAAATAGTGTACATAATATCTCATCTCAGAAATATAGACAGATACTGAAGAAGGTCGGAGCATACCACGGCTGAAACGTTGTGTTAAATATGGCGACAAAGATGAGGACAATAATCCGAATAAGGTAAATAGTGTATATAATACCTCATCTCAGATACTGAAGAAGGCCGAAGCGTACAACGACCGAAACGTTGTGATAAATAT